ATACGCAGCATTGTTCTTTGATCGCCTCGACAAGTGTCGTCAGAAAAAGATCAACGCTTTCTAGAGACAGGCAGATCATAAGGTTGACATTTCGCTGTTCAATGCTGGAAAGTTATTTGACAGGTAGCGACTTGCTCCCACCTCCACCCATGCAACCGAAGCCCCAGTCTACTGCCAACATTGAACAGCAGATTGTCAACTTTACGATTTTGCGGCTACCGCATAGTCGGTTGACACTTTGACAAGAACAACACCACTCTTGGCAAAATAACACAGCGGTTATGCATCGAAGCAAAAGCTGCACGAAAACCGCCACTTTTAGAGCGTGAACGCGCGAGACCAGGAGCTTCGACGCATACGACGAAACTGCGGGGATTCCACCAGTTCACAATAGATTGCCAAAAACCAGACCCGGAAACCGAAAATCGTAGAGTTGGACCCGCTTTAAAGAACTAATAATAAGTGATCTACTTTGCAACTGTCGCTTTCCCACAGGCTTCACACACAGGGCTTTGCTTCCCGCCTCACCCCAAATTCTGCGGCTGCATCACAGCCTGCCCACGGTCTTTGATCGACCTGACTGGGCATCACTGGGCTGCAGCATACCCGAGCTTTTTTGCATCCCACCTCACCCAAAAAAACTAGGGCTGCAACCCCTCTCCGGGCTCCTTTCCCCCCCCGCACCCAAAATTCTAAGGCTGCAGCACCGCCTCCCCGGCTGTTTGCTTCCCACCTCACCCAAAATCTAAGGCTGCAGCACGGCTCTTTGCTTCCCACCTCAATCAAGAGTGCAGCACGGCCCGGGCTCTTTGCATCCCACCTCGGGCACTAGGGCTACAACGTGAGACACTTCCCAGCACGACAAACACAAAATGAAGCGCCCCTAGACCCCGGAGCTTCGACATGTATCTCGGCAGAACTTTTACGGCAAAACAACTAAAAGAATGTTCTTTATCAGCCTGATTCCACCCTTACCAACTGCAAATTGCATTCGGACGCCACACTGGCGCACAATCTGCATGTTGCGCACTGGAACGCAGGTGGACTGCTACGCAACCAAAAAATTGGCTGGCAGAGGCCTGCACGTTCCAGACATGCTCGAAAACGCAACACCACGTGGCCAGTCACACGGATCCATTTCAGGGTCCGAAAAATCACAGAAAACATAGGACACGTCAGATGACCTCCACAGTTAGAGTCAGAGAAACTTCCGGTTCCAAATGAGACTTTGCCGCGCGTTCTTCTTGCTATTCTTCGAAATTTTAAGGGAGACTGGCAAGACGTAGATCAGAACTGAGCAAGAGGCTTATTTGTTTTGCTCACAACGACCGGCTGTGTAAAGCAGATCTGGCTTCTGCCCGCAAAAAAAAGGCGCAAGCGGGCCCAGAAATGGCTCCTAAATCTGGGCCCCAATTTGGGGCTCCAAACTGGGTGACCTTGTGCCTTCAGAAAAGAAATCCACAGCCCAGGGCCCATTTTCGGTGCCCGGAATACAGCTGCTTTTTTGGAACCTGCTTAAGTTCAAAAAATGCTGCAGTCAACTCACACAAGAACAAGATATTCTGTCTCGACTGTTTGGATCAAGAAAACAAAAACGCCGTCGATTGTGTGGCTTGCCAGACTGATCTTTGGCTGGCATCCAAGACAAAGCAGTTTTGCAGTGTTCACGTAAGATTTTTCTCGCACTGTTAGGAGTCAGAGAAACTTCCGGTTCCAAATGAGACTTTGCCGCACGTTCTTCTGCTATTCTTCGAAATTTTAAGGGAGACTGGCAAGACGTAGATCGGAACTGGTCAAGAGGCTTATTTGTTTTGCTCACAACGACCGGCTGTGTAAAGCAGATCTGGCTTCTGCCCGCGAAAAAAAAGGCGCAAGCGGGCCCAGAAATGGCTCCTAAATCTGGGCCCCAATTTGGGGCTCCAAACTGGGTGACCTTGTGCTTTCAGAAAAGAAATCCACAGTGCAGGGCCCATTTTCGGTGCCCGGAATACAGCTGCTTTTGGAACCTGCTTAAGTTCAAAAAATGCTGCAGTCAACTCACACAAGAACAAGATATTCTGTCTCGACTGTTTGGATCAAGAAAACAAAAACGCCGTCGATGTGTGTGGCTTGCCAGACTGATCTTTGGCTGGCATCCAAGACAAAGCAGTTTTGCAGTGTTCACGTAAGATCTTTCTCGCACTGTGGAGGTCACGTGATGCGTCCTACGTTTCTTGTGATTTTTTAGGTCCTGAAACTGCACTTCAAGTGATGAGACATACGCAGCATTGTTCTTTGATCGCCTCGACAAGTGTCGTCAGAAAAGGATCAACGCTTTCTAGAGACAGGCAGATCATAAGGTTGACATTTCGCTGTTCAATGCTGGAAAGTTATTTGACAGGTAGCGACTTGCTCCCACCTCCACCCATGCAACCGAAGCCCCAGTCTACTGCCAACATTGAACAGCAGATTGTCAACTTTATGATTTTGCGGCTACGGGCATAACCTGTCGGTTGACACTTCAACAAGAACAACACCACTCTTGGCAAAATAACACAGCGGTTATGCATCGAAGCAAAAGCTGCACGAAAACCGCCACTTTAGAGCGTGAACGCGCGAGACCACGAGCTTCGACGCATACGACGAAACTGCGGGGATTCCACCAGTTCACAATAGATTGCCAAAAACCAGACCCGGAAACCGAAAATCGTAGAGTTGGACCCGCTTTAAAGAACTAATAATAAGAAGGTTCTCGGCTCGAGTTGTTTTTTTGCGCTTTCCTCCGAGAACTGGGTCTTTTGCTTGTTCGACTTTGCTCCTACAGTGTCCGGTACTCTATTTCGTCAAGATGTCTTTGGGTTCTTCCAGTATGCGACTTTCTTGTTTCTCATTGTGAAGTAGTCACCGTCTTACTGCATTGTTGCCATAGAAGGCGCGCTGTTTAAGTCCTTCTTTTTCACACGCCGCTGCTGTATTTTCTTTCATGGATGGCGAGCATGCTTCTGGTATACATGATGCTGGCTCTATGGGCTGGTATTATGATCCTGCCATGGCAATGGCAAGCAGGTCGGCCACTCAAATATCTGGTGGTGATGCAACTGTTGCAACAAGCAAGCAATGGCAGTACAGGGCATGTCTCTTGGAGATTATTGCAGACGCGTATGTTGGCACCAGCCAGTCCTGTCAGCACTATGTACAAGCCCTGGCCTCAGCTCTTACGGACAGCGAGCACGTCAGTGGATTATTTCACTTTGCCGAACAGGTGCTGGACAGAGACTTATACATGCGCTATCTGGCAACCATGTATAGGCACCACCCCGATGATGTCGCGAGCTTATGCCTTACTTGCCACGGGCTCAGTGGGGACAACGATTAATCACAAAGATGGTACTGGTACTACACACGCTTCCTGCTGCTTCAGGCGTCGTGCTGGTATAATGGGGCGACTTGATGGAAGTACATGGTGGACAACTATTGAGCAGCGGCAGGACCTTTGCAATTCAACTGCTTCACAGCTCGTCTGCACGGTACAGCTTTCGTTCTCTGCCATGGACTGTACACAACAGACTTATTGTATCAGTTGCTCAAAGCAAACAAGCGGTTGCTGTTGCAAAGCCCCTCATATAAGCAAAGCAACTGGCATTTGGTGTAACCTATCGTCCTGGTATGCATTATTTCCCATCTCTCAATCCCCATATACCTTGGAGCGCTATACCATGGCCAATCGCGGACGCAGTCCACTACCTCGCCATGGGTATCGCTCCTCACGTATGGATTCTTCCAGAAGCCGTACCAGAAGCAGAGTTCCTCTGAGGCGCCGAGATCCTCAACCGGTGCGATCACCGTTACCCAGGCTATGTGGAGCACCAGGACGACGAGCGCCGCCTGGCCAGTATCTCTACGATGCTTACACACAGGAAGAAGCAGAAGGATGAGAAGAAGGCCAAGCAAGTGTCGGAAACAGAAGTACGCCCGGTCCCGAAGAAGACGGTGAAGAAGACCAGAGTGAAATCAAAAGCCAAGGCAAAGGAGCGCACTCGAGTGAAGGAGTTTCCCACGGGCACCATGCTGATCACCTCCAACAAGCCGAGGGGCTACAAGGAGTGTCGGGTCGTCTCTCCGACTGAGGCCTACGCTTTGTCCCTACAGGAATTACAACAACAGGCTAAAGAACGACGACTCCGTCAACTACAGCGTCTTCAAGCTACCTCAGCGACAGAGGCCGAGACACCTCCTGATGAGAGACCACCCCGCCCTGTGGAAGCGGAGGAAGTCGTCCAGCAGGATGCGAACTTGGAAAACGGTGAGGCGCGGGATGGGGCGACTATCTCCGTTGAACCGGAAGCTACCATCCCGGATGTCGGTGTCGAAGAAAAGGTGGACGACGCTACAGCCCATAATCATGGGAACTCAGTCGAACGGGAGGCGGAAGCGGAAGTCGATGCTACAGCCCCAGATCAACCAGCATCCTCGGACAACCAGACCTCGGCCGATACCAACGCAGTATCGGATATAGCTGGGGAATCTGTACAAATGGATCTTTCTGCCCAGCCGGAAAAGTATACCGCACTTACAGTGCACTATGCATTGGCTGCCATACGCGCAAGGGTATTCGATGTGAACACAACTCCATGCTATTGCAGGACAGACGTCCAGTTCATGGCGGGTAACATCTACAGACGAAGTCCGTCCCACTATCACAGGTCCCGTGTGCTTCCGGAATGCGAGTATTTGCCACTTCACTGCGTATTGCACCAGGTAACGCTTCCGACATTATTGGAATCATCTCGACACACAGCGAGATTACATTATGGTCTGGACCCAAGCTCTTGCACCAACGACCATGTGCAGCCGCCGCCAGTATGTCGGATGATTGCAGTTGCTGACTCATATCATTATCATATCATGTGTGAGCGCGCCAATGCCGGTTCTCCCCTCGCAATCTACCAGGCTCAGCAAACTGATCTTGACAGCCCGGTAGCCAGGACTGCTGCCTATACTTCTACCACCGTCCCTGCACAATGTCCCCCAAAAGAAGGGCGAACCACCCGGCGACCCCGCCATCGAAGCGAAGGAAGTCACGACTCAGTGAAGACGACATCTCAGATGACTCCTACGCAAGGATGGAAAGAGAAATCTTCGACAGCCCTTCGGAGACACCAGCGGAAGATGGCGACGCCACCTCCAGACACCACGTTGCAGGACGAGGGGCCGGCACCTCCACGGGGAGTAGAGCCTCAGCCGATATTCCCAAACCTTCCATGCCGACTCCCAGGCCCGAGACAGCCAGCATGGACTCCGGCATCAGCACGGGACGGGGAGCCTCAGCCGATATACCACAAGCCACGACTCCCTCTACACCGGCCAAAGCACCCTGGAATCCGCGACCAGTCACCTCGACCACTACGCCACGACCCTTCCTATCACGCGGTGGGCCACCCCCCCCAACAGGGGCGCCACCACTCTCGATTCCGGGTACAGTGGGCTTCGGAGTGGGCCACCCACCAATTGCGGATGTGGGGCAACGGCTGCAAACCTGGCACTTGGAGTTCAACGAGGGTCCGACTATATCCGTCGCCGGGCAACCGACACGCAGTTGGTTCTTCCATCTCAGGCAGGGGTTTGTGCACAATGTGGATGGAGCACTCACAGCGCATCACGACGTGGTATTGGAGCCGGTCAGAGTGGTTCGGGGAACATCGCTGCCAATGTCGACAACCTCGATGCCATCGCAGATCACGTCAGAGAGAACCCCGCCTCGTGCTGAGGACTAACAGAGCCACGAGGTGGCAGACGACCACTTTCAGAGCACTTGATCGGCTATGGGGAGTAAAAAGCAGATCGCATCCATGGGCCCGCTTCCGCTATAAAGCATGTACGAGGCGTATGAGACGTGGTTTCCCTCAGAGTCAGCATTGTGCATCGACTCTCGCAGCCGGAGCGCGTAAGGTCTGGTATTTTCTCGAGTACTACATGATGGCAGCATGCGGCCAGCTCGGTGCGTACATTCTTATCATTACAGCCTTATGCTCCACGCATGAAGCTAAGCAGACTACAAGTTTCTTTCAATGGTTTATCTCAGGAGGATTCCAGAGTAAGAGCCGCTCGGGTCCCAAGTCCCGAGGCGACAGCTTTCAAGGTCTACCTACTTGCGGTGCATGGTTGCGGCTCCTCGTGCTTTCTTCTTGTATATATGCTGCAACAGCTGTCGTAGAACCGAGGGTGGCCTCCTCCGTCCGGGAGGCTGAACCGGGTACTCGTCTTCCGGGACCCGGGAACGTGCACGATCTCGGTTATGATCGTCCTGTCAGCTTCACAAACACGCAGGCCTGCAAACGATCTTTCCGAAGAGCGAGGATGAGAGTGCAGAAACGCATTTCCGAGGGAAAGGCTGGCGAAACCATGTACAGGGGTAGATTGCATACAGCACAGAGTCTCGGAATGCGCAATACTTGTTTTCGTAGTTTCACTGAAGGCAGACGACCGCTACACAACTGGAGTCGTCGGCCCGGCCACATGACGCTGAGATACATGACATGGAACTGCAGTGGCCTTGGTAACATGCTGCTACCAGAACTTATTCAGTGGCTGGACGAGTTACCACCACAGCAAAGACCCCATGTTGTATTTCTGCAGGAGTCCCACTGGAGTATTACGAGCGAATGGGAATCCAAAGGATGGATGCATATCTCCTCGGGACATGCAGAAAAAGATAAATCAGCAGGACTGTTGACCCTGATCAATATACCACATGTGACCACCAAGGAGGTTCGGGTACGCCGTGTACTTCAGGGTCGCTTGGATCATATTCGTATCACGCACAGCAAGGGCATCCTGGACATTCTGAACTGCTATAATCAAGCAGTATCTTTTCAACAACCGGAATCCCACTATCTCAAGCGATCACAACTGTATCGCAACCTGGATAAGATCCTGTGTTCCCTGGCGGTTGAGCATCAAGTTTTGGTGGCTGGTGACTTTAACTTACAACTTCGCAGAGAAGAACCATACGTAGGCTCGGCCACCTGCCTACGAGCACCCTTGGACGCCCAAATTGCTAAAGATGTCGAGCAGTTTCTGGAGGTGGTTCGCAAACATGCACTATGTGCACTGAATACATGGCGCGGACGACGGCCACATACCTTTACCCATCTGAAGTACAAAACTCAGATTGACTATGTATTTACCAGGCAGTCCCAAGCCACTGGACTAGCCAAGCAAGCCATGCCTAAACATGACTTCATTGTTGGCGCTTGGAGGGACACGAAGCACTACCCCGTCTTGGGCACAGTTCACGTGCCCAAGCCTACTTGGCAACAACGAACCAGTCCCAAATACGATATTACGGCCATCCTGCAGGAGGTGCAGAACCCTGGTGTGATCTCCCAAACCATCCAGGCCCACATGAAGGAGTCACTCAGCACCTTGCCCCTCGATCGGTATGATGACATCCCGAGACTGTTGCACGATCTTTGCAGCCGCTATTTTCTAACAGTTCCAGAGAGGCACCCACCCACACCACAACAAGTTGAGTTGAAGCAATACATCAAAACAATGTGGGGCCATTACAAGGCAGCCAAGACAGGCGCTATGATGGGCTCGCCACTCCGTGGACTACTACGTCGCTGGAGGCACCTTGTGCAATACCACAAAATGCGCAAGGAATCCCAAAAGGTTGGTCGAAGATTGAAAAGAGAGCGTTTCCAAACTTATCTGGAGATGGCTGAAGAGGCGGCCAATGCATCCAACACGGTGGCTCTCTACAAACTCGTTCGCAAACTGGCTCCCAAGTCTCGACGTCAACAAGTGCAAATACGGGATGCAGAAGGAATGATTATTTCAGAACTCGACGAAGAAGAACATCTTCGGAAGCACTTTGAGGGAGTATGGCATCCTCCACTACAGTGGGAATCACCCCCGTTGTGCACCGCTGCGGTTCTACCACGTGATGAGTCAACTTTCAGTATAACGGCGAACGAAATCCAACAGGCCGTATGTGCGATTCGCCCACGCAAAGCGGTCAGCCCACAACTTCCTCCTGCACCTTTCTGGAAAATAGCTGCACCAGCACTTGGACAGTGGCTAGCCGGACAAAAAGGCATCGAGACGGCGGACATTCGATACCCTACATCATGGCTTATGACCTCCGTGGCCCTACTTCAGAAACCTGGCAAGCCAGTAGGCCCCCTTACATCTCTACGTCCCATTGGCTTACAAGACCCACTCTCCAAAGCGTACACGTCGATTCTGGCCCAGCACTTCAACCCCTATGCTTTGAGATACTTGCGCAGGATCCCGCAATACGCATATCTCCCAGGCCGTGATGTTATGTGTGCATTGATGCGTGCCGTACAACACTGTCGATCAGTTCGTACCACCATACAAGGTCAAGCCTACAACCTGCATCATCTCAGACAAGGGACGAGCACGACAGATTTTCGAGCAGGCCTCCAGGTATCCCTGGACTTATCTCAAGCCTTTGACACAGGCCCATGGTCATTGGTTATGGAAGCCGTTCGTCGAACCGGTGCTCCTGACGGCCTATGCTCTGCCATTGCTCAATGGATCCAGGGTACGGTATACGAACTCACATACAAACGCACCCGACTCCTAGTTAATGCAGGACGGGGCGTTCGCCAGGGCTGCTGCCTCTCGCCGATTGTATGGTCGGTATTCACTGGACTCCTCTATCAGGAATTTGAGGCTATTGGTGGCTTGCACTCTCCCACCAAAATGCTGTCCATGTTCGCTGACGACAAACACATATGCTGGGAGCTGACCTCACCGACTGATCTTCATGATGCCCTTCAATCTCTGGGTAAGCTCCTTCAGCTGCTTCGTAAATTTGGCTTACAGGTCAATGCCAACAAATCCAAGGCCATATTGCATGTGCAGGGAAAAGGCTCCGAACGGATCAAGCGCACCTGCATTGAACTTGTCAAGGACGAAAAACATCTGAAGGTACCGATCCGCGAAGAGAACACTATGACAGAGGAGCTTATCCCACTGGTATCTCAGCTTCACTACATGGGTATAGTGTTGTCGTACACGAGCTTCGAAGAACAAACCATGCGCCACCGTATCGCGGTTGGAAGGGCGAACTACGATCGGCTGCGAAAACTGGTCAACGCCCGAAAGATCCTTCGGCTACATCATCGAATACGACTATGGCGCTGTGCTATTCTTCCAGCGATGACGTACGGATTACTGAGTACGGGCCTAACCAAAACATCAGCGGACATGTTTGCGATTGCATGGATCAAACAGATTCGGGCCATATCCAATTCACCAGTTCATCTTACGGGAGAACGATCGTTGGATCTATTACAGAGAGTGGGCCTCCCAGAGCCACTTCAGCACTTGCACAAGCTGGCATCAAGTTCCCACAGGCTTCACACACAGGGCTTTGCTTCCCGCCTCACCCCAAATTCTGCGGCTGCATCACAGCCTGCCCACGGTCTTTGATCGACCTGACTGGGCATCACTGGGCTGCAGCATACCCGAGCTTTTTTGCATCCCACCTCACCCAAAAAAACTAGGGCTGCAACCCCTCTCCGGGCTCCTTTCCCCCCCCGCACCCAAAATTCTAAGGCTGCAGCACCGCCTCCCCGGCTGTTTGCTTCCCACCTCACCCAAAATCTAAGGCTGCAGCACGGCTCTTTGCTTCCCACCTCAATCAAGAGTGCAGCACGGCCCGGGCTCTTTGCATCCCACCTCGGGCACTGGGGCTACGTGAGACACTTCCCAGCACGACAAACACAAAATGAAGCGCCCCTAGACCCCGGAGCTTCGACATGTATCTCGGCAGAACTTTCACGGCAAAACAACTAAAAGAATGTTCTTTATCAGCCTGATTCCACCCTTACCAACTGCAAATTGCATTCGGACGCCACACTGGCGCACAATCTGCATGTTGCGCACTGGAACGCAGGTGGACTGCTACGCAACCAAAAAATTGGCTGGCAGAGGCCTGCACGTTCCAGACATGCTCGAAAACGCAACACCACGTGGCCAGTCACACGGATCCATTTCAGGGTCCGAAAAATCACAGAAAACATAGGACACGTCAGATGACCTCCACAGTTAGAGTCAGAGAAACTTCCGGTTCCAAATGAGACTTTGCCGCGCGTTCTTCTTGCTATTCTTCGAAATTTTAAGGGAGACTGGCAAGACGTAGATCAGAACTGAGCAAGAGGCTTATTTGTTTTGCTCACAACGACCGGCTGTGTAAAGCAGATCTGGCTTCTGCCCGCAAAAAAAAATGGCGCAAGCGGGCCCAGAAATGGCTCCTAAATCTGGGCCCCAAATTGGGGCTCCAAACTGGGTGACCTTGTGCTTTCAGAAAAGAAATCCACAGTCCAGGGCCCATTTTCGGTGCCCGGAATACAGCTGCTTTTTTGGAACCTGCTTAAGTTCAAAAAATGCTGCAGTCAACTCACACAAGAACAAGATATTCTGTCTCGACTGTTTGGATCAAGAAAACAAAAACGCCGTCGATGTGTGTGGCTTGCCAGACTGATCTTTGGCTGGCATCCAAGACAAAGCAGTCTTGCAGTGTTCACGTAAGATCTTTCTCGCACTGTGGAGGTCACGTGATGCGTCCTACGTTTCTTGTGTTTTTTTAGGTCCTGAAACTGCACTCAAGTGATGAGACATATGCAGCATTGTTCTTTGATCGCCTCGACAAGTGTCGTCAGAAAAAGATCAACGCTTTCTAGAGACAGGCAGATCATAAGGTTGACATTTCGCTGTTCAATGCTGGAAAGTTATTTGA